ACCTGCTGCTAGACACTGTCAACATCCTACATTAACTTGTTTTTAATACACCTGCTGCTAGACACTGTCAACATCAACTTGTTTTTAATACCCTGCTGCTAGCCACTGTCAACATCCTACATTAACTTGTTTTTAATACACCTGCTACTAGACACTGTCAACATCCTACATTAACTTGTTTTTAATACACCTGCTACTAGACACTGTCAACATCCTACATTAACTTGTTTTTAATACACCTGCTGCTAGACACTGTCAACATCCTATATATATGTCTGACATGTAACAATACACTAAACCTTCTTGCTTGAGACATCTGTTATACAAAACATCTATTTACAACTCCTTAGAACATGATACGTTTTGTAGCCTATCATCAGACATAACTCGTGTCAAGAAAATGTATTCTTTGTACAAAAGTTTCAGGATCGTTTGAGTATTTAAAAATGTTAAAACAAATTAGCAGGAAATTTGAATGAGAATTACACAGAACGTTTACTAATTCCACAGTTAATCTGTTACTAGTAGCATCATTGTACTATAACCTATAGATAAATCTCATCTTGACTAAATAGTGGAAACAAAGTTCATAAAGCCTACAGAAAAAAGAACAAAAAAACCTAGTTAAATTCAATGTTATAATTTAGGCTTGATTTCTTCAGCTATTCCACCCCATTTTAGTCTGTAGTTGCCCGATCGCCACCGGATTGTTGGATCAAACAGAGCACTTAAATAGAGATATAGAGCCGAACTCTCACGAATCATCCATGCTACTACAAAGTCTCCTTTACTAAATGGAAGGGAGCCATTCTGTTTAAAATAAAGACAAAAATATGCCGTTTCTCAGAATAATTTTTTGTCAACACAAGTGTTGTTAAACTATATTTAGAACTAGTTTTTCAGTAAATGATTAAACAGATTATTTTATACAAGAGAGAAGATCATAATCTCGAAAAAGGTTTTGAGGGTCAGCTGTGGATTCTTTCTTGCTCATCCCTATAAAACCAGACAGCTTTTTTTTTTATCATGTGTGTGTATTACTATCGTGGCATACCTTAGGTTAGAAACTTTCAAACCTGTGCACAAGTTTGGAAATATTCCTGTAGAATTCTTTCAGCTTCCATAAACAAATACAGGACAAATCACAGTTAATATCTCTTTCAATTAAACAAAATATAACAAATTTAATATACTATCATTCATTGACAACACAAAATCTAACACTGATTAAAACAAACATTCTAAAATTATATTAAAAATTTTGAGAAAAAAGGCACATGCCGTTGACACGTGTACAACTAAAAAATTAGCACATTATTCTGTTATGTATATAGTATATTATGTTTGGTTACTGCTCTCAAGCACATTATTCTGTTATGTATATAGTATATTATGTTTGGTTACTGCTCTCATAAGTAGAGCTCCAGAGCCGTGATTCGGGAAAATTATAGTCCAGTTACCGAGATCACTGATTAGTCTACTGCTCTGACAAGCACTGGTGGTCTACAGGAACAGATTGATGATGTACTTATAACTACAACCACCATGTCAAAGGTGTTCCACTAGTGGTCTACAGGAACATACTGACGATGTACTTATAACTACAACCATGTCAAAGGTGTTCCACAAGTGGTCTACAGGAACAGATTGATGATGTACTTATAACTACAACCGTGTCAAAGGTGTTCCACTGGTGGTCTATAGGAACAGATTGATGATGTAGTTATAACTACAACCACCACCTCAAAGGTGTTCCACTGGTGGTCTACAGGAACAGATTGATGATGTACTTATAACTACAACTACCATGTCAAAGGTGTTCCACTGGTGGTCTACAGGAACAGATTGATGATGTACTTATAACTACAACCACCATGTCAAAGGTGTTCCACTGGTGGTCTACAGGAGCAGAGTGATGATGTAGTTATAACTACAATCACCACCTCAAAAGTGTTCCACTGGTGGTCTACAGGAGCAGAGTGATGATGTACTTATAACTACATTCTGAGACAGGATTCAATGGACTTATTTCAATGATCGGAGTACATTCTGAGACAGGATTCAATGGACTTATTTCAATGATCAGAGTACATTCTGAGGCAGGATTTAATGGACTTATTTCAATGATCAGAGTACATTCTGAGACAGGATTTAATGGACTTATTTCAATGATCGGAGTACATTCTGAGACAGGATTCAATGGACTTATTTCAATGATCAGAGTACATTCTGAGACAGGATTCAATGGACTTATTTCAATGATCAGAGTACATTCTGAGACAGGATTCAATGGACTTATTTCAATGATCAGAGTACATTCTGAGACAGGATTTAATGGACTTATTTCAATGATCGGAGTACATTCTGAGACAGGATTCAATGGACTTATTTCAGTGATCAGAGTACATTCCGAGACAGGATTCAATGGACTTATTTCAATGATCAGAGTACATTCTGAGACAGGATTTAATGGACTTATTTCAATGATCAGAGTACAACTTTCTACCTCTGTAACAAATATACTTTAACAATTATTAAACAATAAAAAAATCAATTAGTGATAATTAATAGCAGAGGTTGCTGAGAATATTCTCATTGCTAACAGAAAATGATTAGAGGGTGATATAGTTAAAATTATCCCCCCGATTAGCTTACCTGTATGATACAGAGAAGAATCCAGTCCAGTAAAAACCACACTAGAACATGAACTAAGTACAAAACAAAAAAATCCCAACTGAAGAGGAAGTTAGCTGACCATGCAACAAAGATTCCCAGAAAAAAACATTCGGAAAGCGGTTCAAAAAAGATTGTGTGAGGCACCATGGCAAACCGAAGCTTTCCCCATCTACAGAAAAAAACAACAACTTTAAAACACTGTCACAAACTCAAGACTAATTAACTTGTTATAATCAAAACTTTCAACGTCTACATAAAACACACTTTAAAACATGTCACAAACTCAAGACTAATTAACTTGTTATAATCAAAACTTTCAACGTCTACATAAAACACACTTTAAAACAGTGGCACAAACTCAAGACTAATTAACTTGTTATAACCAAAACTTCCAACGTCTACATAAAACACACTTTAAAACAGTGGCACCAAGTTAATTAGTCTTGAGTTTGTTTTGGTTATAACAAGTTAATTAGTCTTGAGTTTGTGCCACTGTTTTAAAGTGTGTTTTGTGTAGACGTTGAAAGTTTTGGTTATAACAAGTTAATTAGTCTTGAGTTTGTGCCAGTGTTTTAAAGTGTGTTTTATGTAGACATTGAAAGTTTTGGCTATAATTTCAACGTCTACATAAAACACACTTTAAAACAGTGGCACAAACTCAAGACTAATTAACTTGTTATAACCAAAACTTTCAACGTCTACATAAAACACACTTTAAAACACTGGCACAAACTTAAAAGAATTTTTGTAGAAAAAACTTTCTACATCTACAAGATAATTGTTATAATTCATCTCAATCGAAGGATAACTGATTTAACCAAACATACATGAGGTAGTAACAACAACATGCTCTGCCATCAAGGTTTTCTATTTCTTTGAAATTATTTATAATTTCTTGTAACTGTATTTTGAGAGAATAACATTCATGCTTTGCAAAAAGTAACTTAGAACTAAGTATACATTAAGTAGGCTTAAACTGAAAACATATTTACACTATGTCACATACTAATACAAATAGAGCATGTTTAAATCACTTTCAAAAACGTCTTCCCAGTAATCATGATCACATAATCAATTTGCAGTAGTTTTTCGTGATAATAGTGAAATTTTTAGGTGTCACTTACCTCGTAACTCGATTCCTAAACCCAGCAATATCACAGTGTCCTGAATTTTGCCATGCGGGTTGAGAACTAATTCTTAATTTCCAGCCTCTGCGTATAAACATTAATAATCAGAATGGGTTTTAAGTTTACTACACTGAGGATATATTTCCAATAGATACTTGCCTCCACTCACCAAATAGCTATTCTCAACTAGCACTGCAAATTTTCAATGCATGTCACTAGCCTTCCACCGCCTGTTTCTGCATATCCATATGCAAATGATCATGCAGCAGCTTTCCACCAATAGGAATGCGACACCACTCATATTGCAACGAGCACCCTCTTCGCATCTGTACTTGTTAATCGCTTCGTGATTGGTCAGAAGACCTACGCCATATAACATCGGAAGTGGGGAGGCTGGGTGGGAAATGTGAGAGGAGGTATCTATCAGAAATACATTTGCAGTATTGGAAAATGCTAATTTACGATACGATATCTTACCTCTTCTCACGAAATAGCTAGAATCCCACATTGAAAAAATATATATATGTATCCTCTTTAGGAAGCATCAAAACAGAGACAAAGAGAAAACACCACACCTCAGCGGGAGACCACACCCATCTGATCCTCGTATACTCTTCACTCTTTTATAATAGTGTTGCAAACATAAAAGGTAGAAAAACCTTTGAAAATTTTAACCGATGGAGGGCAGTGCTAGTCGACAAAAGCTATATTTTTTTTAGAGGAGGCAAGATATCGTAACAGAATTATCTTTTGTTCTGTTTTTTTTCACTCGTGAAAATAAATTCGGAAAACAGCTCCCAACTTCAGTTCAATAGCATAGTTAACACAGCCATCTTACAACAACTGTACACATAGTTAACACAGCCATCTTACAACAACTGTACACATAGTTAACACAGCCATCTTACAACAACTGTACAGATAGTTAACACAGCCATCTTACTACAACTGTACACATAGTTAACATAGCCATCTTACTACAACTGTACACATAGTTAACACAGCCATCTTACTACAACTGTACACATAGTTAACACAGCCATCTTACTACAACTGTACACACAGTTCTAGATTAAAAGCTGCATAAATATAACATAATCAAAATTATTTGTTTGTTGTTAAGCGCAGAGTTACTCAATGGGTTAACTGTGCTGAACCCACTACAAGTATTGAAACCCTGTTTTCAGCAGTGTGAGCCTGCAGACTTACTGCTGGGAAACTGGGGGCTAAAGAAAATTATCATTTCTAGCATCTTACATTTATTGAGTTAAGAAATTTCTATCAATGCATATCTAAAAAAAATACAGCTTTTTATAGAAAAATATTAATGGAACAGTAAAATCCAATATTAGTATATACAATTTAATTTTTTCAAACTGTCTCAAACACTTTTTAGCAGCAACAACACACTTATATAAACATTCCTCCTTACAGAAACTGGAAACAATTATTGTCGTGAGGCCACGTTTGATTAGAATGATATTTTCACAAAACAAGTTGTACATTATTCTGTAACATGTAAACAAACAAACAATTTGTAATTAAATACATCTAATACTATAAAACACAGCGTGTATCTATCTGTAGGTCACACAATGATGTCATCGCAACTTAGTATGTAATTTAAGTAGTTTGACTTCCTGTCAATTAGAAGCAAGTGGTCTATGACTGATCGAAAATTTAAGATATGTTTGGACTAAAATGTACAACAAATTGCACCTTTTTCGCAATTTAAAAATGTATCTTTGTTAAATCGTCGAGTTACGCCAGAAAGGATGTAAATATACTTGAGTAGACATTTTATACAACATATTAAAACCTTATCAAACTTTTTAGAAAGATCTAACGTTAGGTTGTACAATACTATTAGAAGATTATTTATTGATAGTATTAAGTGCAGTAAGGTTTAGCCCTACCTGAACTAGAGCAAAAAGTTACAGTGTTAATTTATCTCTTTATCAAATATAGGCCATACTTAATAAAGATTTAACTAATGTTAGGACTAAGACAGGTGAATTTACAGATTTCAGTGTCTGAGATTAGAATTCTTTTGTATTGCTCTAGAAATCCTGTATTTAAAGAAGTAATATTGCAGTAATGATATCAAATTGGCTCCAAACATTGTGCGGGTTTCTGCTAGTCTTTAAATAGAACACAGAAAATTATCTGTAAGATATTATTTAGACATTTTATTAAAAAAAAAAGAATGAGTTAGCAATTCACCTTTTAAGTTTACTACTTCTCACAACTGCTTTTAAAGTTTTGGTTTTCTCAACCTACCTGTCAGTAAACGATTTAGCAAAAAAGAAATCTTCTGCTAGGTATTGAGCAAAAGCTTTGATTCCTCCTACTTCATCAAGTGGCTTTTTTCGCATTAATGCAGACATCCCCGTAGGGCAGTTGATTCTAAAGAAGTCAGCTGACAAGTAAATACGGGCATGAGCTGTCCCAAAATATACCTATAAGTGGATTGGAACAAACCCCCAAATTTAAAAATACACTGTAAGAGAATCATAAGACTAACAAATAGCTTAGAACAGAACCTCAAGTTTAAAAATACACTGTAAGAGAATCATAAGATTAACAAATACCTTGGGACAGAACCTCAAGTTTAAAAATACACTGTAAGAGAATCATAAGACTAACAAATAGCTTAGAACAGAACCTCAAGTTTAAAAATACACTGTAAGAGAATCATAAGACTAACAAATAGCTTAGAACAGAACCTCAAGTTTAAAAATACACTGTAAGAGAATCATAAGATTAACAAATACCTTGGGACAGAACCTCAAGTTTAAAAATACATTGTAACACAATCAGAAGTTTATAATAAATTGGAACAGAACCTCAAGTTTAAAAATACATTGTAACTGATCAGAAGTTTATAATAAATTGGAACAGAACCTCAAGTTTAAAAATACATTGTAACACGATCAGAAGTTTATAATAAATTGGAACAGAACCTCAAGTTTAAAAATACATTGTAACGGGATCAGAAGTTTATAATAAATTGGAACAGAACCTCAAGTTTAAAAATACATTGTAACAGGATCAGAAGTTTAATAAGAAAATGTTAACAATGCCAGTTTTTAACCATACAGTGACTGTCTAAGTTGACATATAGAAACAACATATACTACAGTTTAACATAAAAAACACAAATCATTGAGAACTTAGGCTTGTCAACAACTACACTACAGTAAAAGCACTGACTGTTACACAAAACCCCCAAATCATCGAGAACTTAGGCTTGTCAACAACTACACTACAGTAAAAGCACTGACTGTTACACAAAACCCCAAATCGTCGAGAACTTAGGCTTGTCAACAACTGCACTACAGTAAAAGCACTGACTGTTACACAAAACCCCAAATCGTCGAGAACTTAGGCTTGTCAACAACTGCACTACAGTAAAA